CTTATTGTTCGACGAGCACGAATTAATCCAAGTGTATTACTCGCACATCAAAAAGTTTTAGCTTCTACCACTGCTAAATATCCTATTACTCGAGCTGAAGTAAAAGTTTTAACAATTCCTTCGGGTGTTCAAGGAAAAACTCTTGATAATATATTTTTAGGACAGGTACCGAAAAGATGTATAATTGGATTTGTGAACAATTCTGCATTTAATGGTTCCCTTACTAAAAATCCATTTAACTTTGAAAACTATGGTATTAATTCTTTCAGCTTATATATTGATGGTCAACAAATACCTTCAAAAGCTTTGCAACCATCTTTTAATAATAGCATATTTACATCAGCATATCATACTCTATTCTCGGGAACTGGTATTCACTTTCTTAATGAAGGAAATGGAATCTCTTGTGAACAGTATGGCAAAGGTTACTGTCTATTAGCATTTGACTTAACTCCTGATTTATCAGCTAACTCATCAACTCATTGGAATCTCATAAAGCATGGTAGTGTAAGAATAGAAGTACGATTTGAATCCTCATTAATACAAACAATTAACTGTATAGTTTATGCTGAGTTTGATAATATTATTGAGATAGATAAAAACAGAAATGTTACTGTAGACTATAGTAGTTAAGGTTATAATATGTGTTGTGTGTTAGATTTTATGTGTTATGTGTAATGAATTTTGTGTGTATGTAACTATGTGAAACGTTATAAAATTAAATAAACCAAATTGTATGCAATATATTTTTTTTTATTTCTTTATAAATCTTCTATTTAATCTAATACAAAACACTGTTCGAGTTGAAATTTTACATAAGCACACTGACTAAACCACTGAACATGCTGCTGCCAAGGATCATCATCATCTTCCCAATCTTTTAAACCACCACCACAATGGAAACACTTGGTCCCGTCTGCATGGCCAGTATAAAAGAAACCAGCTTCTGCAAGATCTTCAGGTTTCTGTCGCATAACTAGAGGCCAGTTTTCGAAACTAAGCAAACGGCTAGATTTTGAACTGAAGAATGGATATTCAGCTCTTGAGTACTGCATACTCTTCTCGTTTTCTTCTCCACTCAGTGTTGTAGTTTTGTTATTCAATGATGTGTTTTGTACACGTATGCCACACTCATCTCTTCCTTCCGCTCTTGTCTTCCTGTAATTGAAGTAAACAGAATCACATTCACTATTGATCAGCTAATGACTGTCATTGTTAAAAAAGTATTTTTTAACTTTTTCACTTTCTGCTATTGTCTTTGTTATATTGTATACGAGGGCGTTTGTGTTGTCGTAGATGCTATCCTTATTAGTATTTACGTAATATTTAATTCTAGTGGAAGCATGTTTCCAATGATCAGTAGTTGGAATCTTGGATAGCTTCTTCATATCGTACATTTTGATGAGATGCGTCGCTTGGTCTCCGTCGTCAGAATTAGTAGAAATGTATGATACACCATCTCTAGCGGCTCGTGCTACGGTTGATGATAACAGCTTCCTCTTTTTTATTTTTGATTCAGCTTCAAAAAAATGATCAATCGATTGCGATTTTCTTTTTCCACCATCGCATGTGTTATTATTAATGACGAGGTTATCACTCTCTTCTTGAGGGGAGAGTGGCGAGTAGTAATACTGTTTATAGGTATCTTCATCGAAGCTCAATGATTTCTGCAACAACACAGTTATCATGTTAATATCAATTTGTTAACACTTAATCATAAAAGTTAAAAAAGTTAAAGTTACAGCCTATTAAAGTCCACTGCTGAACATAGGCCTCCTTTCATTTCTGAGAGGGTTTTAGAGCAAGGAAATGTCCGCCGCGCTCCCTCAATGTGTGTTGGCGAACTTCACATGCCTTCGAAATTTTCTCAGACATGCAGGTTTCCTCACGATGTTTTCCTTCACCACCAAGCACGTGGTAATAAGCACTTAAAATTGCTATTAACAATTTAATTGGTGCTGGCGGGGATCGAACCCGGGTCGCGTACTGTGAAATTTACAGCTAGCGCTAACCATCTGAGTTACCACGGCTTAATCATATACATACACAATATTTAAATAAAATAATACACACACATGAAAATAACAGAAAAAAAGTAATTTAGTCAATAGAATAAACACTTACATCCATAGCCTTTGGTGTATTGAAGTAACACAAATGTACTATTGATAGATCCACTGTAGCCAAACGACCGTACACTAACTCGATGACTGCGTTTGTTGGTCTTATATACCACCAGTACGTAAAAATTCTAATCTAAAGTATTTCCGTAATGAGTTGATAATTACTTTATGCGCCAACCAGTTTATCTCACATTTCCGTTGCCTATCTCAACATTTCTTCGTATTGTGTTTTGTTTGGTGATCAATGACTCAAGTACGATTTGTATAACACAAAAATGCAATTTAATATTTAGAAACATATCAGTTTATCTCACATTTCCGTTGCCTATCTCAACATTTCTTCGTATTGTGTTTTGTTTGGTGATCAATGACTCAAGTACGATTTGTATATCACAAAAATGCAATTTAATATGTAGAAATCACTATAATTGACCATTCCTATGTTATTCATTGAGTAGCTAGGTACTGTAATAATCTACTAATAGCAGTAATATCATGGATACACTAGATGTACAACAACATCTGAAAAAGATTCACCCCAGTCTAGAAAATAATGTTTATGCAGCTAATAGACTGCCTATGTATACCCACGTACCAACGTATATAATATGTAATTTGGATACAGATGATAAACCAGGGTCACATTGGGTAGCTTTATATATCGATACGAATGACGTCGGTCAATATTTTGATTCGTATGGACGATCACCTGTACGATATCATCTAGAGTTTTTAAAAAGGAATTGTAAAAGATGGAACTGGAATGTTGATAGGATTCAGAATGAGTGGACTTCAGTTTGTGGCGAATATTGCTTAATGTATTTACTATATAAGTTTCAAGGATGTTCAATACATAGTTTTACGAGTATATTTACAAGGAACACATTGTACAACGATATTTTAGTGGATGAGATGTTTCGCTCCTATTTTATAGATAATAATTAATAAGATTTTGTATGTTATAAATAAAAATTGTAACAAAATTATGTAATGTGTTTTATTGATGATTCAGATTAGCGTTGTATAAACAAAGAATTATAATAAACATTAGCACTGATATAGTCGACGCACACGCTGCAATGAAGGTGATTAAGGAACAATAGAACAATAGAAATAGGAACAACAATGGGACGCTAATGACGGTGGAGGCCAATTATGGTGGATATCAATTAGATATTAGCTAATTGATCTACACATCTCCGGAACCGTGCATTCTACACAAAAATGGACCGCGGATTCGTGATCAGAGCATGCCAAAACCTTTTTTTTTTTTTTTTTTTTTTTTTTTTTTTTTTTTTTTTTTTTTTTTTTAGGATCGGGTGTCGACGAACGTCGTTGAACCACGTCTGACTCAGGTGGTCCAGAAGTGGTACAACTACACTACTCAACTCATTGTATGCATATACAAGCCATATACAAGCCGAGATTCCCAACAATTACAGAACGGTATCAAACACTTTTTTAGGGAAGGCTAGGCAATCTTAAACTTACTATAACTATTACTTGGCATTTTTGAGGTTAATTAATAAACACGCTATTATTACAAAATCAAACTTTTAACTAAAAATAGTCTGGCCATAAATAATGTTACAAAATAAAAAGTATTTACTTACGTAGATTTACCGCTACTTCACATATTATTATTCAGGTTTATTTATTGTCTAGTAAATATAACACAGTTTGATAAAATTTCAGTTATTTCTAATAAAAGTATAATAATACTGAAACTAATTAATTAACGATCAAAACTATACATTATAATTGCGAAAATTAATTGAGTAAGCGTGTTGTACTGAATACCGATAAATATTTTTAGACTGTATTTAATACAAGAAATTAAACTTCTTTAATGTCTGTTTACCATTAAACTGATACAGCAATACATGGGGCATCATATGCTCCAATACCCTTAAATTGCAGATAAACAAACTGAGAACGGCTTTCAGCCATACGAACGGGGGGATATGAAAATGTTTTCGTTGGCTCGAAACAAAAGGTTCTGCGATATGAGTATTCAGTAGAGGATAGTAGCAATCGCAGGCGGCTCGTAACCATTCTCCGCAACTATGATATCGCTAACCCAAATAAAAAACTCTTATCCGTTTATTTGTTCGTACGTTAAGTGTAAGTGCGGATTTGAAGGAAATAACGTGTATTTCGTGAAATATTTTACCTATCGAATTCGAAGTCTAACTCTTTTATGACATCTTAAATACAATATTGCACACCTCATAACGCAAGCGTTCTACGTGCGTTCTACTCTTAACACATTAGGTCAAGAATTTTGTGTTATATTATGAAAACACTAATAAATCTATCTCGTATTTTCTATAAAATCATTTTATAGTTCTACTTTGAAAAAATAACTGTTGTGAAAAAATTTACCTAAACGAAAAAATAGACGTATCGAGACCGGGTTTTTTTTATTAGCTTCATAATTACATCAACTGGCTTCCTATTTCATATCAATAGCCTAGTATGCATTGTTTGTTAATAAAATGATTTTCAACTTTTATAACTTTTATCGCTATTATAAATTTAAGACGCTGCCATATATTTTTTTAGCATTTGATAGACAAATGTACCATATAGCCTATATCGATTGTATGCTTTATGTAATCGATTTATTTTGGTAAACATATTTCCCTGTAACAATAATAGAGCGCTAAATTTAATACGCGCAAATAATATTTTAAAAGACAAGAATACAATTTATTTTTTCATCAAAATTAAATGAAACGCTCATGAGGCGTGTACTTTTAGATTTTTCAATCTTTGTATATTATACTATGCGCAATTAATGACAAAATATTTGTTTAATTAATTAACAAACAGTGAAAATAAATTCTCTAATTATGTTCTATATTAATAGAGCACTCATTTCAAAAACGCTTTACCGATTATTATATTTTGAAACTCACACTTACCAATAATGTCAAGTACGATCCTGTAGTTTCGTGTCGGAGAAACCTGAAAGTCAACACGACATCTGTAAGTTGCTTGATCACGTAACTGCACATTTCTGAGGTGCAAAGCGGAGTTAGGCATTCCGAGCCAGCGAGCACGCTCGGCGAACGCATCATCGGTCCAGTGTGCAGTGGGCCCTTGGACTCTTGTGTCGTAGCTGTTGGAAAAAGTATTTGAATTACTTCACTCGCCATTGTAGGGTAATTATTGCTTTATAATAATATTCTTACATTGCTACTACACGTTGGATATGTAAGAATATAAACTACCCTATATCATCCCGTGGGTGTTGTAATGTAAGGTAGTAGGTTAAGACTGATTATATAGTTGGCGGCTAAATTAAGATAATACAGTGAATTCATTGTGGAATAAACTGTTATAGATTGCGTTACGTCTTTGTGTTCTCTCCGGCTTTTATATACATTACATTGGCGATGAGGATAAAAACGTAGTTTTATTGTGTTTTTAATCGTTGTGAGTAAAAGTTTACAAGTTAATTCGAGAACAATGTCGATTGGAAAAGTAAACGAGTTAGATGTAAAAACCGGGGTGTGGTCGTCGTATGTCGATAGACTTGAGGTGTATTTTACGGCAAATAAAATAAATAGTGATCTCAAGTTGCCCACGCTAATAGCGGTCATGGCCGATGAGGCTTCCAGTTGCTGGTGAACCTGGCTAGCCCCTTGAAGCCGTCGGAATTAAAATACGACGCCGCCATTAGTCTATTACGCAACCACTTACAACCGGCACCATCTGCGTTAGCGGAAAGGTATCGTTTTAGACAAAGGAGGCAAGCAGCGAATGAGAATATAGCAGAGTACGTAGCAGAGTTAAAAAAATTAACACATCAGTGCAAACTGGGAAACGGTTTTAGTGAAAGTCTACGGGATCAATTTGTCTGCGGATTAAGGAGCGATGTTATTCGGCAGAGGCTGTTTGCGGATGACACATTAAGTTTCACCAAGGCGATAAAAATGGCCAGCTCGTTAGAGGTTGGAACGCTGCGGCGGTAGATGCAACTGGGTCAGCAACATCAGGAAGTGATATGGCGGGGGTGCACTCGCTGGCGTTTGGGAAAAATGGGTCGTGGAGAACGTTGGGGTGAGGCGGGCGCGGAATGCGCGGAGTTCGCCAGCCAAAACACAATCGGCTGAGATCGGCTACAGCTGTAAGGAGGCCCGATGCAATTAGCAGTCAAAATTGCAGCGGATGCGGAGGGACAAGCCACGGTTATGAGGATTGTCGGTTTCGGGAATACGTGTGCAGCAGGTGCAAGCGCACGGGTCAACTACGACGCGTGTGTCCGGGACAGGGCGCGGCAGGTGTTCATACAACCAGGCATACCGCTTGTCATCAGGCAGACGTAGCACGGCATGATAAAGACGGGGTTCAATTAGAGGAGTTTCATCATCTATGTGTAGGTGACTATAAAGCGGTGAGTTTGCCAGTGACTGTAAATAATAAAGTCATCAATATGGAGGTTGATACGGGAATGGCAGTGTTTTGACATTAGCGAACAAACTTATGAGCTATATTTTAGTACCATTTAGTTAGATCACACAAGTGTTAGTTTGAAGTTCTATGACGGTTCGTCACTTAGAACTTTAGGTTTAATCACACCGGACGTTTGTTACGGTGGAGAAAAAAAAAGATTAGAATTATTTGTTGTCAAAGGAGGAAGCACGTCCTTGTTGGGCAGGCAGTGGTTATCTGAATTAAAAATAAAATTACCATTATTCACCAACTGCCATAACTTGGAGAGTAACGAAGTTAAATAAGATTATCAATTGAAAAATTTGTTTTCCAGATATAAAGAATTGTTTAATGGAGGGCTGGGATGGTACACGGGCGGCAAGGCTGCGAGGGGGCAGCGCCGGTGTTTCACCGCGCGCGGCCGATACCGTACGTGCTGCGCGAGCGCGTCGACGCCGAGCTGGACGCGATGTTGCGCGACGGCGTCATCGAGCCCGTCGACTGCTCCGACTGGGCCTCGGCGCTGGTACCGGTAAACAAAGCTGACGGTTCGTTGAGAATTTTTGCTGACTATAAGGCGACGATAAACCCTGTTTTGTTAGTTGATCGATATCCCTTACCTAGAGTTGAGGATTTAATTGTTAGGTTGAATGGGTCGAAATATTTTTCAAAAATTGATCCGTCTCAAGCCTATAATCAGATAGAGCTAGACAATACTAAAAAGTTAACCGTAGTTAATACGCATCGCGGCTTATTTCAGTATAATAGGTTAGTGTACGGGCTAACATCGAGTGCTGGAATATTTCAATTATTATGTATAATTTGTTAAAGGACATCCCCAATTTCGAGGTATTTTTTTTGAACAAATTGGACACATTGACCTCTTTGCGAAATCTAAACTTACGTTTAAAGATTACATCAATAAAACTATTAAAAAATAGAGCAGTTGAAGTTAAAATCACATACAATCATATATTCTCTCGTCTATTTTTTCTATATGTATTTTTTGAGGCTACTAATATAAATATAAGTACTTAAGTTATTTTATTTAATGTAAAATATCATTTTACCTGACTCTCTCTCCTGATCTGTAAACTTATGACCACCTTCGTTACATTGAATTGCTTATAATTTTGCTTATAATTTATCTATAAGATTGTTCTTCTTTCCTTTTATTCCAACAACAATACACCTACCATCAAGCAATATAAGGGAAACCTGTTATTGGCCATACTTTTAGTTTGTTACATTAATGTTTATATTTACTATATACGCTGTTGGTTTTCTAAATAAATAAATCATCATCATCATCATCATTACAGCCCTTCACAAGTCCACTGCTGAACATAGGCCTCCCCCAAAGAATGCCACAAAGCACGGTCCTGAGCCACCTGCATCCATCGACTTCCTGCATGTCTTACCAGGTCGTCACTCCATCTCGTGGGGGGACGCCCTACACTTCGCCTACCGGTACGAGGCTGCCACTCGAGAACCTTTCTTCCCCATCGGTTGTCGGTTCTTCGAGCTATATGGCCGGCCCACTGCCACTTCAGCTTACTAATCCGTTGGGCTATGTCGGTCACTCTGGTTCTACTGCGGATATCCTCATTCCTAAGTTTATCACGCAGAGAAACTCCGAGCATAGCCCTCTCCATAGCTCGCTGAGCGACCTTGAGCTTCCTCATACGGCCAGCAGTGAAGGACCACGTCTCAGTTCCGTAAGTCATCACTGGCAACACGCACTGGTTGTACAATTTCGTTTTAAGGTTTTGAGGTATGTCTGACGAGAAGATGTGTCGTAGCTTCCCGAACGCTGCCCAGCCGAGTTGAATCCGTCGATTGACCTCTCGGTCGAAGTTGGACTTACCTAGTCGGACTATTTGTCCCAGGTAAACATACTCGTCAACAACTTCGAGCTTAGTGCTCCCAACAACTACCGGCATAGGTGTGACATGGACATTAAACATGATCTTTGTTTTGTCCATGTTCATCTTAAGACCTATCCGTTGGGAAACACTATTGAGGTCATTGAGCATAGTGCTTAGGTCCTCCAGCGATTCTGCCATAAGGACTATATCGTCGGCAAATCGAAGGTGAGTGATGTACTCGCCATTGATGTTGATACCGTATCCTTTCCAGTCCAGAAGCTTGAAAACGTCTTCCAATGCAGCGGTGAAGAGTTTCGGGGATATGACGTCACCCTGTCTTACACCTCTCTGCAATTGGATAGGTTTCGTGTTCTGGTTCTGTACTCGGATAGCCATCGTAGCCCTACTGTACAAGCACTTCAACACTTCGATATACCGACAGTCAACTTGGCACCGCTGAAGGGACTGCAGCACCGCCCAAATTTCGACGGAATCAAAGGCTTTCTCATAGTCCACATACGCCAGACATAGTGGCAAATTGTACTCTTCGGACTTCTGTACAACTTGCCGAAGGGTATGTATGTGGTCTATGGTGCTAAAGCCCTTTTGGAAACCGGCTTGTTCGGGAGGCTGGAAGTCGTCAAGTCTGCGCGCGAGACGATTCGTAATGACTCTCGAAAACAGCACGTAGACGCGGCTCAGAAGGGAGATCGGTCTGTAGTTCTTCAAGAGAGCGTTGTCACCTTTCTTGAAGAACAAGACCACCGCACTTCTGCTCCACGCCTCCGGTGTAATGCCACCATGGAGGACAGAATTAAAGAGCTTCTGAAGGACTTCAAGTACCGGTCTTCCACCCGCTTTCAGAAGCTCCGCTGTAATTCCATCCTCGCCTGGGGCCTTACCGTTTTTAAGGTGCTGGAGAGCCATCCTAATCTCGCTCAGACTGACATCCGGGATATCTTCGGAATAGTGTCGGATGAGACTCGCTCTTGGATCGTTACTCACACTTGCGTGTGGCTCCAACGATGATGTGTACAGCTGCCCATAGAACCTCTCAATCTCACTCAAAATCTCAGGTGTCCCGGAAACGATGCTGCCACATTCTGTCTTCAGCTTTGACAGTTGGCTCTTTCTGGCAGACAGATCTCTGGCAAAGACTTTGGAGCCTTGGTTCCGCTCGATCGCTTCTTCAATACGAGCTGTATTGAAGTTGCGTAAGTCCCGCCGCATGCATTTGGAGATCTGTCTGTTCAGATGCCTGTATGCTGTCAAGTCTGTTGAAGAATGTAGCTTCATCTCCCGTCTAACAGCCATGAGATTAAGAGCGTGATCGGAGAGCTTTTGTGTTCTTCTGCGGCGGGTCTTGCAGAACTTAGCTCCGACCGCATGGACAGTTTCCACGAGCTTGTCATTCATATCGTCCACTTCATTGCAGTCTTCCAGGCACTGAAAACGGTTTTGTAACTCGAGCTGAAAGGTTTCGGGACTTTGGAACAGAGCACGAGGGGGACGGAGCGTTGACTTCATTAGACGAGACCTCTCCAACTTAACGTTTAGGTTCAGTGTGCCTCTAACCATTCGGTGATCGCTACCAGTTTTCACCCTCGCGATCACGGAGACATCACTGAACAGTTGTCGTCTGGTCGTCATAATGAAGTAAATCTCATTTTTTGTGGAACCGTCGGGGCTCGACCAGGTCCACTTCCTGTGGGGCCGCTTCTGGAAGAAAGAGTTCATCATAAAGAGTCCCTCTTTCTCCATGAAGTCGGCCAGCTGCTGGCCCCTTGGGTTCCGTTGCCCTATTCCAAATTTCCCT